AGAATTATAAAATGGATATACAAAAGAAATGGATTCTTGACTGTCATTGTTCTAAAATTTTACTTAATTTCATCATACGAAAATTTCACTATACATTTGTTTAATTGTTTTTATATTACTATTTTATTAATAATATTTTAAATTTATAAAAATAAAACAAATGAATTAATTATAATTCTATAAATACAAAATTCAATTAAAAAAATATTTATTGAAAGCGAATTATCATGGGCCAACATATGTCTCATAAAAGCATATAAAAATAGAATTTACAACTAATGAATTAGGGTTTCTCCCTGAACACAGAACAGAAAATTGGAAGAAGAATGGGTGAGGGACTGGTGTGGAGCATGCGGTGGAGGTGACAACCGGGATACGGTAATCTTTGCGGTGGTGGTGAGGTTGTTGTGATGTGCAGTGATACGTGTGTAGGGGAACCAAAGTTGGATGATGTTTCTACTACTCTACTAAAAAAAAATAAAAGAGGGATGAATCGGTTTACATATATATCCTATATCCTATAAAAGAGGTTGTCATTCTTCATTTGTAGTGTTTGCTTTGTTTTGTTTTATTTGTCACTCTAGATTGTATCTAAATTATATATGTCAAAACTATTTTAAGATTTTTAATTGTTTAATTTTTTTTATTGGATATTTCGAAAGAAATTTATTAGGAAGAAATAATATCAATGAAACATGAATTCAATCACATTAAAAATTCATATCCCTCTTAACTAAAAACCTTTAAGACATAAGATTATGAGTCTTTCTTCCTCACATGTTACTTGTCGCAACCAAAATCGTTACTTGGACGACAAAAATAGTTTCTAAATAAAAAAAAAAACAATGGAGTTACCACACTACTAAAATATTACTTATTTTTTGCAAATTTTCTTGTAAAAAAATTTAAATTTGTAGGAAACTTATTTCTTACAATTTTTATAAAAAAATTGTAAAAATATTCCCATAAAATATGGAAATTTCTAATAGTGTCACCCATATTTATTTTAAAGAAAATATCGGAAAAAACTTTTAAAAGAAAAAGAAGAAGAAGAAGAATGATATGTTAAACAATAGTTTGATCGGAGAGTTGATTATGTATAGGAAAGGTAATATCACTCTACAATATCCGTTCTAAACAAAACGATTACCCACTACAAGAAAAATTAAAATTTCCGACGAGACAAAATTCATTGCTAATTAAGAAAATTCGTTGGTAAATACATATTACCGACGTACGAAATCCGTCAGAAATTGTGTTGTCGGTAAATATTATTCGATTAAGAAAATTTATTTATTTATTATAGGTCCGCCTTCCTTTATTTATTATTTTTATTATTTATTACATTTTTTAGAAATTTAAATTATTATTCGATTAAGAGAATTGTGACTTGCAAGATTCGAACCACTAAGCTAATAGGATTATCTGATAATAATTTATAAATAAATGTATATCCATGTAAATATATAAATATAAAATATATAAATACAAATATATTTACATATTTATATATATTTATATATTTTGATATATTTATATGTTGGATGTGAGAGCGCGCTCGAACATGAAAGTGTGTGTCAAGTGAGTTTTCAAAATTTTGATGACAAATTTGTGAGCGGGTCTTTTATATGGGTTTATAATTTAATGATAGAATATAATCTTTATAATTTATTTATATAATGATATAAAATATATTTTTTCTTTTTTATTTTTATTTTAATTTATTCTTTTTATTTTTTTCTACTATTTAATTAAAATTCTTATATTAAAATATTTTTTAATATTAAAAATACTTAAATATTTATCAACGGATATATCTATTGGTAAATAATTGTTTATTTACCGACGGATATATCTGTCGGTAAGACCAAATTGCACAATTACTTTAAATCCGTTGGTAATTTTTGTCGATAATCAATCATTTTCTGACGGTTACATATCTGTCGGTAATTAATAATTTTCTTGTAGTGACCTTTAATTAGACGTGAAAAGTTAAATATCTTAAAATTATCTATTTTATCCGTCAAATTTATATTTCTATTAAATGTTGCTACTAAAAAAAATAAAAGATTATATATTTTTAGCTCGACAGAGATGATCTCTCTACTCCTACGTATCTCTAGGTGTAATGAAAAATTAAAATGACATAATTCTTTCTTAAAAATATTTGTAAATAATTTATCAATGTGTTATTATGTTAGATATATGTCTGGAATTATTTTAACGTTAAATAATTATATAATAATCAAATTAGATTTATGTCATTTTTATAATTTGAGTAATAATTAAATCGGAGGTGCATTCAAAATAATAATTAATATTTAAATATTTAAATTATTATATTTATAATTTTTAATTGGATTTAAAAAATATATATTTTTAAAAGTATTTTATTATAATCAAGTCAAAAAGTATATTTAGCATGAAAAATTATTATAATTTTATAGTAATCAAATTAGATGTGCATACAAAGTTGTTAAACTTTTATTAAATCTTTTTTTACTACTCTAATAATAATAATAGTATTGTATATTTAATAATTTTATAAAATAATATTCGAGAAAAGAAAATGATAATTATTGAAATTTAATTTTTAATATACTAAGAATGATACACCAATTTAAATTTTTTAAAAGTGGAATCATTTTTATTTGAAATTTGAATAATAAAAAAATAAATAATAAAATCTTTCAAACTTATTACTATTTGTAACTTTTTTTTACATTATCTTAAGTTTAACAAAATAAACAAAAAAAAGACAACAAATAAAAAAAATAGGTCCAATAACTCATAAAAATAAAAATAATTTCATATTTGTTTTATTATTTAAAACTTATTTTTGTTATTTTCACCCCTTAAACCCTAATAGAAACTATTTTTTTAGTCCAACTTGGATCATTGGTCCAAAAGTCTCCCACTAATCTACTGAGTCTAAGATTAATTCACTTCATTATTAAAAGTATATTTTTACTATTTTCACTCTCAAACTAATCTTTAACCATGTCTATCTTAAACCCACATCTCATTCTCAACTCATATCCATTTTAAACTTCTATCTTAACCTAATCCTAATATTGGGGCCACGCGAGATGAGATGGGGGCTGCAATGAGAATAAGGGGAAGAGCAATGGGCAGTGCGAGCGGGAGAGGAAGCACCGTGGTTTGGGGCTTGAGGGTGACTAGCCGTAGGAGTGTGAAAATAGTCTCAGTTTAAAAAATAGGTTATATGAGACCAAAAAATTGATGGTATAAATGGAACCAGGTCAATTTTGATTTGACCTATTTTGATTGTGGTCTAAATGGGCTTAGATCAGATTAATCTTTAAGTTTATGAGTCGACCCATTTTATAAAAAAAATAATTATTTTAAAAACAAAATAAAAATAATATTATATATATATATATATATATATATATATATATATAATTTAGAAAGAATAATAAATCATAAACATAAAATTTGATTTGTTTTGATCATCTTCTCAATTACTGTTATCATAGTTGTGATTTCTGGTTGTCGTCACTTTTTACATTCCTCTTCAATGCACACCAATTCCTAAGTTTGTATATGTCTCCACATGTATTCTTTATAGGTATTTTAATTTGTGTTATTTTATCTCCTACTTGAATTTTAACTTTGTATTTTTATTACATGGTTACGATCAAGTTCAACATAAACTCAAACTAGTATTTAATATTTTATAATATTTATATTATACAAACTTTAATTATTTAATATTATTTATTACTTTTCTTATCAATTACAAATACAAAAGAAGTGGAGGAGATATAATTGTTTCCAACAAGTTCGTAAAGGAGAAAATATATTTAAAAAGTTAAATAGTAAATACTTGATACATTTGATTTGAATTATTTTTATGTTTTATTTCATAATATAATATCCTAACTAATTTAGTATTATCTTTTGTGGTAAACAAATATTATAGTTTTGGATGTCTTGGAAAGGCTCAATTGTAAGTATTTTGTGATACTTTAAAATAGATTACATGAACTTTTTCTTGTATTTTTTTTTATGGATTTTTATTTACTTTAGTTATTGTATTATGTTATGAGACATGGATAAAGTTATTTTAAAAAAAATATTTAAACTTTGGTTAAATTAAATTGTTGTACCATGATTTTTTATGATTTTTTTTTTCTACATAGCTTATGAATTAATTTTAAACAAATAAATGAATGACATATTATTTTTCAAACAAAATTAAAAAAAATTATATCAACACTTTTTTTAATTAGGCCAAAAATTTTGGTCCACTTAAAGGTCAGATTGAGCAGTTAGATAATTTTTACTTGATTCGTAAGGTGAGATTAGGCTAGGTATCGTTGTCCTAGTTAACCCCGAGGGTTGTGATGGTTTAAATGGTGGTTCGGTGATGAGGGAAGTGTTAGGATCGAGCGCTTACCACTAGGCCAAAAGCTATAGCCGTTAGTCAGAGCGCAACTCTTTTTACTTTAACAGCCCAAGCGCCACGATTCAATTGTGACTCGGCCCACCTGACCTTCGTCACAGGACAATTGATGCTACCTGCAACAATCTCCCCCTCAGCAATTGTCCTACAAAGTATCCCACTCTTGGATTGTGACTTGGTCCACCAGCCTCTGCCACTGGACAATTGTGCAACCTGCAACAGGAAGATATGAGCTTAGGAGATTTTGGCTTGGTGTTGAAAGGAGTGAGACAAGGACGTAAGGTGCGGTGACGTAAGGTGCGGTGACCTTAGGTGAAATGGGGCAACAAAGAGGGTGATTTGCGATAGGGGAGACGGGGATGGGTCTATGTGGAGGTGAATGGCCAACAATTGGGGTTTGGAGGGTGAAGGAGAAATGAAGGTGGAGTGACCATGGCTATGGGTGGCTTTGAGGGTGACGTTTGGGGTTAGGTTCACGGTATTCGGAGGTGGTGCAATGGTGAGGATAGCGAATGAGTTGGAAATGGGATGGTGGAGATTTGGATGCGGGTGAAGGTGAGGTTAGTGAGTGATGGCTAGGGTGAGACGCTGGGTGAAAAATGAAAAAATGAGAGATGGAAAGATGCAGTGGCGTGTGACAAAGGTAAGTGTATTTTTAATGTTTATTAGTTTTCTTTGAAATGTGTGTATAATGTGGGAAATAATTGATTGAAGTTATACCAGTCATCCAAAAAAAGCAATAAGTAGAAGCGACAAATACAAACACTACATATAGAAAGTGAATCTGTTTATAGGTCTTGCTTAGATTTTTTTTAGATTTTTGTTGTGGATTGTTGATTTGTCATGGATTCGTGATTTGTTGCAAATTGATGATTTGTTGGGAATTATTTTGTTGCTATGTGATATTAGGTTTCTGTTGATCGTCACTTTGTTTTAACTATGTTGATGAATTTCTTTTGACCGTCATCCCTTTTTGTTGAGATTATCTTTTAATTTGTAGAAGAATCATTACCTATTGATGAACTTAACCTCTGGTAACATGTAGAATTATGTTGGTGGCTGGAGTAGATGTAAGTGTTACGACTGAGGTATATATTACTAACTTTCTCATTTTTAATTTCATACTTTCATATTTGGATTACTCAATATTTTTTAAATAAAAGCCTGTGTTTATTTTTGTGTTTAAATGAATGTCATTTATAACTATTCATAATTGAAATTAACTACAATATTAAAAAAAGTGATATTTATTAGATTTAAATATAAGAAAAATTTTCAACTCTCAAATTTGTAAAAAAATATATTAAATTTTAAGAAGTATTTTTGATAAATTTGTTTTTATGTATATGTTAAATTAATTTAAGTACTAATTTTTAATATAATTGAATTAGAACTGCTTGTATTTTAATAGGTTTGTCCTGATTTCATTAAATTTTTCATAATATAATGTATACAGAGAATAGATCTATCACTAAAAAACAAAAGTTAACGGGTTATTTTTCATTTTATCATTATTTTTTATAATTAATTGGTATTTCATCTTAAATATTAAAAACATAAAATAAATAGATATATATTCCTTATAGGCATATATATAGATATTTAAGTTATTTAATGCTAAATATTAAAAAAATAATCACACTAACAAAACAAGAATGGTTTAAGAAAATAGTTGAATGAAAGCAAAATAATGGGCTTAAATGCTAGTAGCATTGTACACTGGCCCAAATGCGGGAGAAAGTTGATAAAAAAGGCAGAAGTGTAGATAACATATGAGGGCAGAGTTAGTGTCAATTGTAAGATTTTGGGCCACCTAAGCTCTATTTCTCTTGTCGATCTCCATTGCAAACATGATGGAATGGAAGTTGTTCTTGTGGCTGCAGTAATAACATTTGGGCATTCTAGTGCTAATTCGTTTTATAATCCTATTAATTAGTCTTTCATGCGAAGGGAAAACAGAATTTCTAACTCTCATATACCAAGTTTCCTTTTCTCAGTTTAACTAGTCTCGTTTGTTTGGTTTTTATGCCTTGGCTTGGAAGGGTATGATATATGTGAAGATCATCATTGCAATATGCTCCATAGACTACTTGATGTATGTATCATCATGTTTTGTCCTCCCATATAAGTATTGAAACAGTGTAGAGAGTAGTGTTTCAGAAGTCAAAATATGCAAATTCGGCTTTAGTTTCCTGATGCACTCAAGGCACCAGGGGTATCCGTCAAAGCAAACTTAATCTGAAAATTGCAATTTGTCTTCTAGCTTTTGTCTTGTATGATTGTATTTTCTCATCTGATTGAAATTTAATTGATTTGGACCTATGCTAACCCAAATATCAATTAATAGCTAAGCAATAATAAGTTAAAAAAAAGGTTGTCCACAGTACCCTCATCCTCCTTAAATCCACAACTTTCTCTTAACAACACAACCGTCACCACAAGAATCTCCAGACATCATAACCAAACGATTTGTTTCATTATAGTATAGTTGAACCTTGATGTAATGACTTCCATTATTCAGCATCATCGTCAAAGATTAATAAATATGAGTTCGTGTTATACGTCTTTTAGGTGGATTTGAAGCAGAGAGATTAGTTAATGAATTTGACGTAGGCCATCCCATAAGGGAGAGACACACCATGATTAGTAACAGCACTCACTTGGCCCAAAAATAGAACAAATGGGTGGGTGGGTGCTGACTCTATTGGAGGTTACTGTTATGCCATTTTGCATTGAGCTGTTCAGGCGTATGCAAATATTGTTTCTCTTGTCACATTTTGCTATTGTGGGAAGAACTTGGTGCCACCGTCATAAATATACATTGACCAATCCAATCATATATTAACCAACATTGGTGAATGATGATAATCATCGCGCTCAATTACATTTACGACTCTGGATATATGGATATATAGAATCACGGGTAAATGAAATAAACAGTTACATGACGACATCATTATAGATAGATAAGGGAAAAGCTGAAAAGGTTGCTTGTGCATATGATAATGATGTCAATATTGCTTTCTTACTAAATTTTACCCTCTATGACTTTCACGCTCTGTACAGAGCAATCAGATATTGTTGAATTTTCGTTTTCTTTCTTTTTTTATATGCAATTTTTGTTTTCTTTTGATTGATACCATATATATAACTTTCTTTAACAATGCAAAGATTCGTTAATACAAACAATTTTGTTGTATCAGTGTCATCAATAAAGCCCTAGCAACAAGAACGAGCGTTATGCGATTTGATGCCCATCCAAGCCAAGACCAGCTAGCCGCATAGGACCATATTTATCACAATAAGTTGCCATTGTCATTATCATTATTTATAGTTGTTACTTCCTCTTGTAAAGTTTTGCTTCTTTCATCCCAATTCCTAAACCTGCAACTTTATTATATATATATATAGATAAAGTATAATTAACTTACCTTTTTTCCCATCAATTTAGTTTTTGAAAAACAGCTTCAAATTCAAAAAAACTGACTCTCTCTCTCGCTCTCTCTCTTTCAACCTAAGTTCAACGACTCAATCATTAAAGATTTAATCATACTTCTTAATACATAACGCTGTCACCCAAGGGAAACAGAGGTAGCCAAAATTAATCCAACGATGTAGTGTGTAGCATATATTTGAAGGTAAAAGTGGAGCCCATGAAATAATTTGATCATATCGTGAGAAAGGGACAGTATGGAAAATAGTAAAAAGATAAGGGGGGGAAATGTAAGAATAGTTTTGAATTAAAGACGAATTTCCTTAATTTCATAGGTTGCAAAGGAGGAAAAATGTGACAGTGAAAGTTTTTGCTTGGATATACTTTATATCATTGTTATGTTTTCTCCTGCCTCAATCAATGAACCTAAAGATATTGATTTCAAGATTAGTTTTTTTTTTTTTTCCTTAGAGACATCATCACTTTAAATAACCATATTTCCCTTCCCTAAATCCTAATTTTAGAGAAAAACAGTTACCAAAATATGGCAACAGCATTCATTTGTCAATTATCAAGCATTTTGTTTTATGTGTGCGCGCGCTTTCTTATTGTGGAACCTATTTTAACACTACACGGAACCAAGTTTTCGTTATCTTTTTTGCTTCATATTCGTATTGGTTTAAATTTCGATTTCGCGGAGTTATTGAAATCTTGAGCCAGTTTGAACCGAAAGATGAATCGGAGAAGTTTAATGTGGTTTTAATTTTGCTATGCTTTCAATATTTATCCATATAATTTTGAGGGGAAAAAAACCTGTGCATGATTTAGACCTTGAAGATTGTAGGTGAACAATATTTTTGGTGAACGAGTACATCAAGGTCTACCCTAAAAGGTGTATGTATGGTGCGTTACACTATGCAATTGGAGGACGCATTTTCTATGTAAAAAAAGTATACCTCAAGTCAAACAACAATGGAAGCATTGTTATCATGTTTCTATCTTTTTTCTTTTCATGGATTTGCAAGCGTGTTGCTAGCTAATAACATAATTAACACTAATAATATTTAAAAAAAAACTATAGTTTATGCATGGTGTTGCTTTAACGAAAGCAAGGCCCAAAAATTCGCCACATACAGATGGCAGGTATTAGAGTTGCTTAAGAAGGGAAAGAATAGGAAACAATGGACTCATGGTCATTTATTTAGCATTATTGTACAAAGATTCCTTTATATTTTCTTTTTGCTTTGGTCGAAAAACTACAAGAATTAAAAGGATCGTGTTTCTATTTTATATTTTTCTCCACACTTTACCATTAACTTTTTTGGGGGAATATATAAGTACCACGCATTTGTGTTTGTCACTTAGTCCCCCATATCAATATCACTACTAATATTACTTTTTTATGTATATTCCATTAATATTACTTATTTACGCATATAAAATTGAATGACATGTACCGCATAGTTATTTCTTTTATTGAAAAATGATGGTTTACAATAATTTGTGTAATATTTATTAGAAAGAGAGATAAAGGCATAAATATGTAGTGAAAAAATATAATTTTTTTATATATTTTTTGGCATATTAGATATTCATTTTTTTTAGTATTTACATAATCGCTCTATATATAACATACATAAGAAAATAACAGAAATAATATAGAAACTAATGTTATATTAAAGGGATGAAAATGGAAGCGGTGAAGAGAGAATCACCGCCAAAGGCATTTTTCCTGTTAAACTATCTGCGCTGCTATCTATAAATAGGAAAATGTTAAAATGTGTCCATCTCATTTTTTAGGTAAGGAAAGGTGAAAAAGAAAAAAGAAATACAAAATGTGAAAAATATTAAGAAACTAGAAAATAAAAGGGAAAAAGTGGTGTACGATAATAAGAGGTGATATACTTTACAAGTACCAATACCAACTACTGTGTTTAGTGTTTATCGTGATTTTGGAGACACAGCATCGACATGCATTAAACCCACACAACCGTCACCCTTACCCCACTACTTCAATTCAATGCCTGGAAAGAATATCAATCAATAAAAGGACCCCAATGAAAAGGTTACTCCAGACCTCACGAAAACCAAAAAGCCTGTATTGTGAAGAAGAAAATAGTATAAAAAGTATAAAACTGCAGAAGTTGTTAATTCTAGAACGTAATAAAACCGATCTAGAAGCAGGGCAGGGGATAAGTTGTGCAAAATGTTTTGTAACAACAAAACCATTATTCTATAGACCACAGAAAAATAATGCAAGAGTTCAAAACAGCAGCAGTTTGAGCATTTCCAGGGACCGTTTTCATCCCCAAAAAAATCTTATTGATGCATGTCGCCAACACAATAACCCAAAAAAGAGAAATAATAAGTGAAAGTTACTCCCTCGAGGAACAGTGTCGCCACTGCATTTCTCAACTTCTTCTCGCCGCATCAGGCACATCACACACCCTCGTTTGCGCACATGCAAGAAAACATTTCCCACCTCTCCACGTCTTACAATCAATAACAAAAACAAGACACTGTCAAGTTCTCTCAAATTCTCTCTGCCTCCACCTTTCTTCTCCCTTCGTTTTGTCCCCTTCTTTTTTGTTCCACGGGCTTACAAGTCGTTACAATTCACTAATCTAATCTCAACGGGACTTAACGAAAATGAAAACAAGGGAAGAAAAAAAACAAAAATTGTGTAACAGCAAGGGCATCCATTCCAGTTCCACCTCAAAGAATTTACATTCCCGAAATAATGTACAGAGGAGAAAGAAAAGAAAAAAGAGAAGAGAATCGGAATCCCCATATCACGGTTCACTGCCAATTGTTGAACAAGCAACCTAGCTACCTAGAGAAACACCCAAAATTCACAGGTGTCACGAGCTTTGCTTTTTTGCACGAAAGCAAACCGGCTACAAAACAAACCACCCAACATGCGCACATGCTTGGCTAGATCACGGGTTCTGATCCGACGACGTTTCGGTCGTCCCGCTCCCTGCACTTCCCTCTTTCGAGGCCTGCGCTGTTTCCAGCGATTTTCTCGTCTCTTCGCAGGTGCATGTGCTGGTGTTGTCGCCGAAGGAAGAGGACCTGCTAGTGCCGCAGCTTGAAGAAGAAGAAGAGGCGCTGGGAGTAGCTAAGAATGTTGGTTTCTCTTGCCCTGCCATGATCACGAGGATCTTCTCCTCGTACGGTCTCTGAGGTTTCTGGTCTTGTTCCATTTTTCCCTCGCCAGCCTCCAGGTCCCGTTCTGTTTCCCCGTTTCCTTCAAGGTACCCGGAGAGCTTCCAATAAGAGCATGCAAGGATCAACAGAGCGAAGGCTATGAGACCCAACATAGCCGCTAGCCCCCCGAAGAGGTAGGGAACCGGAGAATGCCACGGCGAGTGTGGTTGCTGCGGAGAAACCGGAGCTCTGTCGCTCACGTTCATGGGTTCTCTGTATGCAGCCATGTTTGTATATAATAAAGTAGAGTGAGAGGAAGAAGAAGAAGAATTATAATTGCGGGAAGGAAAAGAAAAGAAGAGAAAGATTGGGTTGAGAGGTGGATGATGGGGTGGAAAGTATTTATAGAGAGCTGAGAAAGGTTTTGATTTTGATTATAGAGAGGTGGAGAAAGAGAGAGAGAGGTGATTGGTGTCGTCATTTTTGGTTAGTAGGAAGGAGAAGTGGGATCCACAGTGTAGTGTGGGGTCACGTTTTCTGGGTTTTCCTATTTTATTTGTTTCTATTATTTTTGGTTTTCCTTTCCCCCCTAGAGGATAGGATTATGAATTATTCATGATGGCAAGGAACGCGCACTCAGGGGTGAACTGGTCATGTCAATTTCACAGGAGGAGAAGAATATGATCCTCTTGCATGTTTCGCAACAAACAAACACACAAATAAAGAAAAATATTGAAAAAAATAAATATTCTCCCTGGATATTCATGTTGCTCTATTAATATTATAAAAAAATTTACCTGAAAAAGCTGCAAGAACAATATTATTTATTTATAATTCTTTGAAGGAGTCATTAATACAGTGTATCGGATAAGATCGAGAGATACAGTCACGATTTTCCCCTTCTCTTCCAATTATATGATCTAAAATTTGTAACTCTGGAGACTGTGACCTCATTAACTCTAAATAACGTACAAATGCGTGCATGATTCACCAGATTGGCTATGGAATCTGTTAAAGTTTATGTATAATCTTTAGATATTAACATAAAGCAAAATCCCTCCAATTAGGCTTTGGATCTTACTTTAGTTTAGTCGCACATAAGAATTGTAAATTAGAACCGGACATGGAGATGCCAACTTCGGAACCTTGTCATTTGCTATTTCACATTTAAGATTCTAACGCCCAATAATAATAATTTCAAAAGGATTCCCTCGTTCCCCTACTTAATTGCTTGGGATTAGGATGTTTTATCCAAGTATTTTAATTATATTATTCTAATTCAACTATTTAAATGGGATGCAATTTGAGGTGCGATACCCACGAACATTATACTGTTTATATATGATATTATATTATTTTATTAAAAATATTAATGTAATGCAACATAAGAACATGTGACATCATATGGATTAAGATCGGGACCCACTATGGTCAGGTTGCCGTGTATAGCACCTGATCAGTTTGAGAGAAATCAGATGTGCTCTACTCTACTGTACTCTGATGAGTATATTGGGAGGAAATTCTGTTTATCTCCTTGGATTAAAGAATAAGGGAGATTCAGTCTAGTTATCATCATCTGCAGCAGAAATCTGGTCCCTTCATTAAGATGCACTAACTAACCAATGGTTTGGATTTAGGTGAACATTGGCTGGAGACAGCAGCGGAGGATCTGCTTTTGCGTGAGTGTCAACTACGTATGAAGTGGGTAGAAAGAAGGTGGAAACGGCTTCATTTTTTCAAAAAGCTGCTGACTTAGAAACAAAAACAAATTAAAGAAAGGTCCCGTCATCATCAATACTCCAATTTCTTATTTCTTAAAAGAATTTAAAATGATGCTTACACATTCATCCTTGTTTTAAACTTTTCAAAAGTTAGTGATAAACCAGGAGTAAAAATATTTACATTTTTTTATCTTATTTACTTTCGGTGAAACATTTTAAAATTTTTTTTTTTTCCTAAAAAGAATCAACCTAGAAAAGTATTGGTCGGAAAACCACCAAATCCAATTGGTTTGATATTTTTATTAACTATTTGTTTTTAATAAAATATATCAATCAAATTAAAAAGATAAACATACCAATTTTTTATAAACTTGATAAACCAATAGACGATATCGGATTCAATATATACAATTCCTAAAAAAATTAATTAATTATTAACTTCTAATCCGTTAAGGTCAACAACCAAATTGACAACTCTAATAAAATTTTAAAATATTATTTTTTTAAAATTAAACATACTTATTTTATTTTTAACCGTTACAGTTATTAGTTGTATTTTTTAAATAATATTATTATTAAAGATATAGACACCTAAATACAAGTATTTATATATATTAAACTGAAGGAAATCACTGTTTTTGTCCAATTCTACATAAAAAATAAACTTTAATAATACAACATAAAATTGTGACTGTACTTACCATAGGTTAAAAATGTAGTCAATAATCAGAATATAATTTTTTTACTTAAGAGTAATAATAGTCCAAGATTTGATTATGACTCAGTCCAGAGCCTTCCCCAGGATAATTAATACTCCATGCAATAATAATTTGTAGTTATTTATTTTTTCACTTTTAAAATAATTAATATTATATATATATATATATATATATATATATATATATTAGTCAATTAAAATTCTTATTAAGATACATTGGATCAAATATAAACATTCATGAAATAATGATATTTTAGCAAAATACATACATTTAAAAGTTTTTTATTTTTTTATATAAAATATCAATTTGATCAAAACATTACATCAGATCAGACTTTAGAGGTTTTGTTTTTGTTTTTTAAAATAAATTAACCGAACTTGGTAGTAGTTGGTGCATGAGATAAGTAATACATAAACATCACTCATATCCGTGGAGAATCTAGGGGCGGATTAATATTATATTTATTTCTCTCACTAATTAATTACTTAATTTTTATTTCTCTATCATAAATTATCTTGTTACAAGAATCATAATATAAAGCACTAAATTTCCGATACCTTCATTAGAAAGCATCATTCTCTCTCTTTTTTTGTTTTTATAAAGTATCTATGTGTGACTGAGACAGTAGTATTATTTCAGATTGTAGAACTTTCTTTATGGATATGGACTACACTTAAGATTAAATGTCGAATTTAACCCAAAAAACCAGCAAGATTATACTGTATTTGGTTGGATATATGTTATAAATCTAAAATTTACGTTAAATTGGTGAAGTAACGTGGAAGGTTAAATATTTTTAACTAACAATAGATCCATTATTCAAATAGTTTTTGAATAATTGAATTTGTTTAGCAATAGATGATTCTAATATAATTAAGTTGTTGAGTGACAAGTAAATCAGTGTTTCGCAACATAACAGTGTATAATTTGATTTGATTTGATGACGGGAGATTAATGAATTTGTTGGTGATGTGTAAGCGGTTTCTTCTTCTTCCTCCTCCCATCGTGTCTTAATTAATGAGCCTTCTGATTTTTGGGCTGTGCTTATTGTCCACCACACTTCAGTTTGGTTTTGTATTAATTACTTTAAAATTAAAATTAAATGCAATCGAAATAGTAGTGACCCTGATCATGAAAGGTCCTTCACAAGTAGTGCCACACGGACCTCTTGATTTGGAAGGGACATGGTAATAAAAAAAATGGAACAATATTGAATTGGCCTCGACGATATATGATTTCTCTGCCACGTATATTTTGCACTAGGTTTCCCATTAGTTACACACACCTTTAAACTAATGTTTTCCTTGTGATTTGTGGATCATAGTTTCAACAATTTTCAACAATCTTCCTCACATGCTCCTAACTCAGCTTTATTTTCCAAAAGCTAGTAGTGCATAATGGATATGTCATAAATAAAAGAGAATAACCAGAGCAAAGCTGAAGAATTCAAATTCCAAAGCTTATAGCAAAGGCAGTGACAAAAAAGAGATGATTGATACCAAGTTCCATGTTTGGGTCCCATTTCGTGAATCGTCACCTTCCACCACCCAACGTACACGCCAAGGACAACAACATTCACAACAGGGATTCTATTCTACCGTATTCTTTTCTCTAATACCACCACACCTCCTCCAAACCGCAACTTCAATTCTATATTATTTTATGTATAACTTCCACACTCTCCTTTTTTTTTTCTTTTTTTCTTTTTTTCTGCTTAATCTTCACTTACTCACCTCCCACTACCATTATTCTACCAATAACATAGCAACAAGCCAAACAAACAAATGCGCTCAGAATGGATTTCACGTATAAATCCAAAACCAAATCCCACTAATTACATTTTTAAAATCATCATTAAGTGAACTACACGTATGTCACTTTCCTAGAATGGTTCCCCTTGTCTTTTTTATGCTATTTTAATTATATTTTCATGTTATATTTTTGTACATCTCCTTTTGTAATTCTACAGTTTATTATTTTTCTTTTTCTTTTTTTATCTTTATGGCATTAATTGTCATTTTCACGTTTTTCTTATTGTTTTTTTTGTATATTTTAATGTACAAAAAATGTATAATTGCAAATTCTATTTCATGATCACTATTATCCAGAACGTAACACTTACATTATACGTATCTAAATTCTTAGCAGTCATGTTGGGTGATAATTATTCTTTCATTCTTAAGAAAATCCATTGCCTAAAGTAAGCGTTGAAGTTAAAATTCTACCAAGACAAAAAAGACAGTGAAATTTCACCTCCCAATTGGAAACAGTTGGAATATCTTCCTTTATCACTTTCCTGATTAGTTACATTATATGTAACGATCTTAAAACCTCTGGATCGATTGAATTTGAGAATCAATAATCAAACGTCCGTTTCATTTTTTTATATGTAAAAAATGTTATTTTACTTTATTTCATCTTAATTAAAACGTGATTTTGTTATCATTTGGCATTTTATAGACAACATAATGAACTAATTTAAAAATATTTACTTTCTTGTTTCACCCTTCTTTATCAGTTAATTACTTTTATATTCATTCTATTAACTTTTCTGTAACTGAAATTTTAACTTTTTTTTCTTAACCTTTATTATTATTATTATTATTATTATTTAAGTATGATCATTGCTTTAACTAAATATGTATCTTTTTTGCTATACATAGGTTATGAGGCAGATTTCTCTCTTAATCTTGGTTTCCTTTTTATTTATTTTTTAATTACTCAGATAAAATTATTTCATTTTTTTCTTTATCGTGATTTTTAAATATATTTACATTAATCGAGAGAAATTCTCCTTTAGAAATACAAATTTATGTAAATTATCAGTGACATTTTATAAGACTAAAC